GTGTTTCATGGTGCTGGAGCTGCCAGAGGGCCTTTGTTGCCTTCCTGGGGAGTCCCCTGGGATGCTCTGCCATCTTGCACAGGTGCAGGACTGGCAGCAGAAGAGTTGTGGGAGCATCCGACTCTGAACCCAGCCTTTCCTTTAACATATCAGGTAGTCACATCCATACCCAGCACTCAGGACCTATGTCACAATGACAGGACCACGGCAGAAGGGTCTTTCTGACCTCCATAGATTTTGTTGTGGATAAGGGATGGGAGAGACCTTGGAGAAGATTCTGTAAACACAGTGGTTAGTCTGTTGTTTATGAGGGCTTCCTCCATGTTATCCCCATAGTGCTCTACGGTAGTCTCAAGGAGCCCTCCTTCCGAACTGACAGAGGACAGAGCCTGAGGGACACAGTGTGAGCATTTGCAGCAGAAGGCAGGACCGGTGGCCAGGAGTCTGGGCCAGGGTCTGGGCCCTTGCACCTGCCTTGCTCATGTCCTTCTTGACCTGCTTGACCCCACGTGAGCTGGACGTCTGTGAGGGCTTTGATATTATGTTTTGCACATGAGCCTACAGTTGTTTATAATGACTTTGTGTCTGAGGACCTTACTGTGGCTGGTGTTCCATGGCAAGGAAGGGTCCAGACTGCTGAACTCATGCCCCTCGTGTGACTCAAGGTTAAAGGGAGGGGCTTGAGAAGCAGTCCAGTGTGCGGGCCAGCACCTGTTCGGTGTGCAGACAGTGTTGGACCATGTATGGGGGACAGGTGCCAGTGAGATGAAGGCTTCAGAAGCCCCACCAGGAGCTTCCCGCTACGCAGCACACAGCCCTTCATCTTTTATCATCATTAATGCCTCAGGAATTAATACTTGTAAGTGTTTAGTAGCTCGAGGACTGGCATCTCCTTTACAAAAGAAGGACCAGAACTGGAGAGACCGAGCACGTGTCTCGGTCCCAGGCAGTGAGGGACCAGTCAGGGCTCAGCTCTCCTGGGCCATCGGCTGAGTATAGGAGACTGATGCTGCTGGTTTCCCTGCACCCTGTCTACCCTCTCTGGCCAGCGAAGACTGTTTTGTCAGGGCCAGTGCAGAGCTGTGACTCAGTCTCCCCAACTCCCGAGCCTTTGCTGTTCTTGTAAGATGGTGGCTGAGAAACTTACACCTCAAGGGAGGCGCCCTCACCCAGGTTCCTGGGCCATGGAAGTGGGCATCTGGGCCCTAGGAGGACCCTGGTGCTGTGGTCCTGGGCCTGTGAGGTTGAGGAAGTCTCCTACAGACAGGCATCCCGTGTGCACACTGCAGGTGCCGTCTAGATCGGTCTGGGGCTGTTTCCCAGAAAAAAACAATTGGAAGCCTGATCTTCCAATGTGGGAAGGGATTTTCAGCCCCAGGAGAGTGTCATATCCCTGCCCTGCAGCTGCTGCCTGCCCGCCCCCACCCCCCACCCCACCCCAGCACTCAGAACACACAGCCATGTGCCTGTAGGGAACAGTTCTGGTAGCTTCACAGTGTTGACAGCTGGGCCCCTTCCATGGTTGCTGGGAGCATTCTGGTTGCTTCCTTTGATTCCTGGAGAGTGTTGGCAACCAAAAGTGAATGTGCGCAGCTCAGAGTGCAGATAGATGGGCATAGAGGGGCCCTGGATGCTATTCAGGGAGGCCACCGGTAGGTGGAGTGGGGCTCTGGAAGGAGCAGAGAGGGGTCCTTGTAACGACTCACACCCTTCTTAGCCATGGGAGGCTTGGATTCCACAGGGGTCTCTCCCCACCCATGATCAGTCCCTGCACCCTGGCTCTGGATCAGAGCATCCAGAACTGCATTCCAAGGTGTCCCCTTTGCTCTAGATCTTCCTCTTGGGCTTCTCAGGTAGAAAGACCCTTCCTTCTCATAGGATAATCAAGCAGTTATGACGTAATGGGTGTATGGCCAGGTCAAGAGACAGAGAGACAGAATCCAGTGGGCCTAACCCTGTCTAGGGCCTGCTGGGAGGACTTTGGCTTGGGGTCTTTCCCACAGGGCCCTGGTGCAGAGCCTGTGGCCTCTCCCTGCTCCAGCATCAGAACTCCTCCCCTAATCGCTGAAGCCCCTCCCCTAATCAGATCTCAGTGGGTTTAACTTTTTGTTCCCTTCTGCTCCATTTTTGTTATTCTTATTGTTATCATTTGTTTTGCATTTAAGACAAGGTCTTTATATGTAGTCCAGGCTGGCCTTGGGATCATGATCATTTTTGCTGAGCCTACTGAATGCTAGATTTATAGATATGCACCTCCATACCCAACCTATTGTCTTTTTAAAGAACAAAGGTCCAGGTCTGGACAGAGCACAGTCAGTAAAAAGTTTGCAAGGAAAACTTGGGTTTGAGCCCCAAAACCTATGCACAAAAAATCAGGTGTGGCTAGAAGTTTGGCTTGCATGCATGTCTGCTGTGCATCGTGTATGTAGTGCCTGAGGCAGCCAGAAGAAGGCGTTGGTTCCCCTGGAACTTTTTAAAGTCAGATGTGGTGACCTGTAATTGTAGTCCCAGTGCTGGGGCTCACTGGGCAACCAATCTAGCCTAATGGACTAATTCCAGGGGAGGAAGAGAGAATGGGCTGGAGAGATGGATCAGAGATTAAGAGTGCTGGTTGCTCTTTCAGGGAAACCAGGTTCAATTCCCAGCACCCTCTTCTGGCCTCCTTAGGTACTGCACACTTGTGATGCATAGCCACGCATACAGGCAAAACACCCATATGCAGAATATAAAGATAAGTAATCTTTAAGAAAAAAATGGTGGCTACTTCCTGAGAAATGACACTGAGGTTGTCCTCTGGTCTACACACTACAGCCCTACTGTTTGAAAGGCAGCAATGCAGGCTCAGGCTTTGTGGTCAGGTTTCTAAATATACTCCCTGCCCGGAATGCTGAGGAGCTCAGAGTTGAGAGCCGCAGCCTGTCCTGTTCCCGGCTCCTGTCCTGAGATCCATTGCTCCTATCCTGTTCCGGGCTCCTGTCCTGAGACCCACTGCTCCTATCTCGTTCCAGGCTCCTGTCCTGAGACCCACTGCTCTTATCCTGTTCCCGGCTCCTGTCCTGAGACCCACTGCTCCTATCCTGTTCCTGGCTCCTGTCCTGAGACCCACTGCTCCCAGTAGCCTGAACACATAGAGGTTTTTCACCACCTCTTTTCTTTCTGAGCCATGTCCTATGGGCTTCCATTGTGGCAGGTGTTTATAAACTAGCTTGGTGGCTTCCACATTTGCCGTGAGTGTGTGGACATGGGGGAGCTGACCACAAGCCATTTAAAGCGGCCACATTTGGGGGTTGACTATCGTGACACCAGAGAGACCTGCTGTGCAGAATTTGCTCCTGATAGGGCACTGCTCTGCACTCCTGCCTGAAGCATCCTCTGGCCCACAACACAGGAAGGAGTTCTGAGCTGAGCAGGACAGGCTGGGTCAGTGGAAGGAACAGAGACTGCATTTCTGGAACGGTGAGCGAGTCAGTATTGTTGGGATATAGTACCTGGAGAATAGGGTACCACATGGAGAGAGCACCCCAGAACGCTCATGGCAGTCAGCCCAACTCTGGCTACATTGAGTGTAAGTGGAGTGGGGGGGTATAGAAGCTGGTCCAGGGGCAGCTGATGGCTGGCTGTGTGCTGAGCGAATCCCAGAGCTGCCAGAGGACTTGTTAGTATCCTTCACAGCCAGAGGACAGAGATGTCTAGAGTGTGGCTGTTTAGTCCATTTTTCTTTGCTGTGACAACATAGCTGAGGCTGGGCACGTCATAAATCAGGGTGGTTTCTGTAGCTCAGTTTCAGAGGTTAGAAATCCAAGATTAGGTAGCCCTGCCAGTTTAGTCTCTGTGGAGCAGAGACTAAACCTTACTGGTTTGTTTGTTTGTTTGTTTGTTTGTTTGTATCATAGTGGATGGGATCCTAGCAGAGGCAGATGGAACCGTGGCTGGAGTGGCGGGAGCCGAAGCAGTCCTAGTGGGAGCAGATTGTGGTGGTGGACGCTGGGGGTAATGGACGGGACCCTGGGCAGTGCTGATGGTGAGAGCACACTGGACATGGAGATCACATGTTGAGACAGGAAGCCAGAAGGAGGCCAGGGAGGGACCTATGATGGTTGTCCACTGGGCTTCCCCTCATAAAGATCCCCAAGAAAACCACACTGGTGACCAAGCTCCCAACATTGGATATACTGGAGTTCTCAGCAGCTACCATGCCAGATCTCAGTGTAGTGGTGCAGCCCTGTGTGACACCATTGCCCCTCGATGGAGACCAGCTGTTTCAGTGCCCTTCCACTTTTGGGTAATAATCTCAGTGCTGCAGTTGACCATGACAGATTTTTTTTTTTAAATGTAATTGTATTCTTTTAAATTGTGTGTGTGTGGGAGGGTTAGGTGTGTGCATATGAGTGGGCGCCCATGAAAGACAGCATTGGATTCCCCCTCCCCACCCCAGAGTTGGAGTACAGGCGCCTGTGAGCCCCCTGATGTGGCTCCTGGGAACTGACACGAGTTCTGTGCGAGAACGCTGTGCACTCTGACTGCTGAGCCGTCTCTCCAGCCCTCTGATGACAGGGTTTTAAGAGGCAAACCTAAAGGAGGTATTGGGCGGGAATTCTGTTGCCCGAATTCTCTGGCCGTTGAAAGCTGTGGTAGCAACCACGTAGGAGCAGAATGTGACATAGCTATAGGGTGAAGAAGTAGCCAGGTGTGGTGACAGGCCTGTAGTCCTAGCATTCAGGAGACTGAGGCAGGAGGATCAGGAGTCAAGGTCAGCTATAGTGAGATCCTGTCTCAAGAAATAAAAAAGTGGGGTTGGAGACATGACTCTTCAGTTAAGAGCCCTGGCTGCTCTTCCAGAGGTCCTGAGTTTAGTTCCCGGTACCCATATAGTAGCTCACAACTGTCTGTAAGTCCGGTTCCAGGGGATCTGACACCCTCATACAGACATGCATGCAAGCAAAACACCAGTGCACATAAGATAAAAGTAAATTATATTTTAAAAGAAAGAGACGAAAACCTTAGGTGAGTACTGTGTTTATTTCCACGATGCCCTTCATGTGTTGTCAGACTGGGCTGTGGAATGGAGGATGGCAGCCATCGGGCAAGGTGGCCATTATAGTCAGGACACCCTCTAGCAGACCCGTGGTCTCCGATCGGCCCCTGTACCTATGCTGTTGTGTCTTTGACCTGAATGTTCCTCAAGGCGCACCTGTTGATCTGGGAAGAGAAGCTGCCTTGTTTGTGTAGGTTGATGTGGCCGCAGACAAACTCCTGTTTGTTAAGCACCATCCAGAACACATGAACCCTGCCCAAGCTCCCCAGAAAGGCACTCTTCCCTGAACACCAGGATGGGGTGTGGCTTGTGTCTGCAGACAGGCCCTGTCTAGCCCCCTACTCTGTCCAAGGGCATGCTGTTGTCTGGTCCCCGCCTGCATCTCTGTGTCAGACGCTCAAGGAGGCCCAGCAACCTAAGCCTGCACCGTGTGTGGAGGATGAGGGTGACCACCAAGTTGATGCAACTTTCTCCAGAGAGGGCCAGCTCTGCGAGGTTCATGAGCAGCTCATCCCTGGGGGAGCCCACATCCTTCCGAAGCTTCAACTGGGCTCGATGCAGGAGGACCACATTGAAGAAGAGTCTACAGGCAAACATGTTGAGAGTCACGGCCAGTACCGCCCAGCGCCCAGAGGCTGTGTCCCTCGGAGCAGGAGCCACCCGCCAGGCTGGCTGTGTAGCATGCAGGAGAAGGAGAACCATCTGAAAGCTCAAGGCAAGCGCAAAGCCCAGGCTGAACTTGACGATCTCGTATTCGGGCCATGCTGTCAGTGGATTCACCTGGCACACAGTGGTTGCGTGCAACTCCCCAGATGTGCCCAGTAGAGACACCACAATGAGCGAGCTACACACGGCACAGCCTCCAATGGCAGCTAGACTGGCCACAGGCCTCACCAAGAGCTGGCAGCCCGAAGATCCCGGCAGAAGAGACTGGACAAGCATGGCCCCCTGCAGGTACTGAGCTGTAAAGTAGCAGACATTGGAGAAGAATGAGAGTGTCCCACAGCCCAGGTTTGTCGTGGCCATGTAGTCAGGTCGGCCAGCAGCATTGAGGGACAGTAGAGTCACCAAGATGCTAGTGACTGTGAGACCTGCAAGGAGCCTGTCCAGCACCCCCAGCCTAGTACGTTCCCGGATGAACACACTTAGACAGAAGAGCCCCGTCACCAGGCTCAGTGGGACACACACCGCTATGTACACATGCATGCACCTAGAAATGATGCTCTGTGCTGCAATGACATCTTCCACAGCTGGGGACACATGGCTAGGGTAGCGGATCCAGGACATGTTGTGACGGTCCATCTTCAGGGCAGCGGTCACACCTGCAACAGAAGCACATGCTGTGTGGCCGTGTGGCTGACCAGGGAGGGACACCTGTGCAGGGCAAGGGGCCGGGTCTCCAGAGGGTGCCTAGAGCCAGCCTCTGTGTGAATGGAGGGAGGATGTCAGAGCCCAGTCTTGGTGTCGAGAACAAGGGCTCAGGTCCAGTGAGCCTGGTGCTAAAAGGTGCAGGATGAGTCAAGAAGCCCCAGGCACCCTCACTGCAAACTCACAAGGACCCCCTCCCCCCGACACACACACACACATGCACACTGTTACTTGGCAGCTAACAGTAGCCTTTGAACATGGCTCTTAGCAGTGGTCTGTCTCCCAGGAAGGGTTCAGCTGGCAATTTCCCGAGAACAGGGTTTTAGGGACCCCAGCACTGAGTCACTAGCACTGGCTGCCATTACTGGGGACAGGTATGTCTTTGCATTTGAGATTCTGAGACATTCTAGAAGATTCTGGCCAGTTTTGGCCTTTGTAGGGACCCTTTTCTGGAAACTGGGGTGCCATGTTATGGAGGCTGGAATGATGTGGGGGCTTCCTGGGATGGCCAGGTTGGCTAGGAGTCAGTAGCTGTAAATTCCTGGGCAGGGCTTTAAGTAAGGACACTGACAACCCCAGCGCTCTGCCCGCCCACGCTTGATAAATGAAATAATTTTGTTTCCATACAAATTCCGTCTTCCGCCCTTTAAAATTTAACTAAATAGTAGTGGAGGCTAGGAAATATTATTGTCATTTATTCAAAGGAAATTGAGGGTGATAAAACTGGAGCCATAATTTTAATGGGATTCCTGAAGCCTGGCCTAGCTCCACAGCCAGCTTTTGTTTGCTCTGAAGATGGACCACATGTCTGGGGAGGTGTGGGTGTTGGCCTGGTCTGGCTCCTGCACACAGTGTGACTGCAATTTACTGGTGTGTGACTCTGAAGTAGAGAGTGACTATATCCAGCCAGCTTTTCCCCCTTAGTAACAACTCCTCGGAGCTTGCCATGTGCTTGATGTTGTGCCTGCTCTGTACCCAGAGTGAGGTTCTTTGTATCTTGTGGTGTTTTGGGTGAGATGGTGCCTGTAGGCTCAGGTGTCTGAATATTTGGTTCCCACTTGGTGGCACTGTTTGAGGAGGTTTAGGAGTTCCGGTCTTGCTGGCAGAAGAATGTCGTGGAGAGCACACTTAAGGGTGTGAAGCTTAGCCCCCTTTCAGTTCACCTGCTCTCTCTCCCTGGTTCACGACTGTGGTTCAGGATGCCCGCTTCTTGCTGCCATGCCTCCTTGTATATTGTATAAAGAATCTCTGTTTCTCTACAATAACAAAACCCAAAGGCTACAACAGCAGTTGTATATACAAAACACAGAGGGAGATACTGCTTCACTTACAGACAGGTTCTTGACCAGAGATGAGACAGGAAAGGGGGGTGGCCAGGGAGAGCACTGTGTGCAGAGGAGGATGGAGAAGGGCAAGTAGACCTCTTGGGTTCTGGGCTTCAGGATCCCGCCCCGGTCATCAGCTCACTCACTGTGTGTTGCTGTCCTGTTCACCCTGTCACCCTTCAGACCTGGAGGATGGTTCTCTTTGGGTGTCCCAAGCAGCAGGAAGGTGACCATTCTTGGCCCTGTGATGCCACACTGGACTTGACTTTGATGAGTCTGTGGTGTGTTTGGGTGTTTACAGTGCCGCCGCTGACCAGCCTTTGCCACTCCCCATGGGCCTGCGGGCTCCTCGTTGTATCTGTCTCTTTCAGTCTGAAAAGACAGCAGTGGCCGTGATAACTTGCAGCTGCCGTGCTTATGGAGCCAGCAGTGTGGAAATGAAGAGTCATGGCCGGCTCGGGAGGAAGCAATTTGAAGTCTGTCTTGTCAGGTGGAATGGGAAGTCGTCTTGTGATCTCTGACCATGGTCAGGAAGCGGAGCTGCTGAGCAGACATCTGATGTATCTCTGCAGCCACTCCATGCCTCATGTGCGCGCTGTGCTACTGGGTACTGTGTCTGCGGCCATCCGTCACCAAGGGCCTCCCTGGCTGGCAGCAGTCAGCTCTGACTCTGTCTGGCTATGGCCTGCCTCTGTTTCTCAGCGGGTGGACCAGGGTGGATCCTATAGGCTGCCAACCAGGGTGGAGGCCTCACTCAGGTCCCGAATGCTCTAGCCAGGATGTCCTCCAGCACCGTCTGGACCCATGCAGAGTGGGCTTCATCACCTCAGTTCTCGGGTCTCAGCGTTCCAACTACGTACTGAGTACCAGTATGTACTGGGTACCAGTACTAGAAAGGATGGATTTCTGAGAGGTGGATACTTGTGCAGTGCAGCCACACCTGGGGGCTCTGCTTCCTGTACCCGACCCTGCTCAAGTTGAGGTGCCATCCTGCGCTTTTGTCCCTTAAGGGTGGGAGGAAACCCATGCAGACTAGGTGAGCTGGTCTCCCTCCCTAGCCCCTAGAGCTCCCCAGTCCTGTCCTGCAGAGGCCAGCTGGGGAAGGAGTAGCCAAGAGCCTTCTACTTCATGCAGTGTGACTACCCTGTGCACAACACCCCGCTGCACACCTTAATGCCAGGCTGCTGCCTGCAGCCCTGTCTTTGTTAAGGTCAAGAGGGTCTAGTCCTTCTTGGGAGCCCAGGATCACATGATTCCAGACCTAACCAGCACCTCATCTATCCACGGGACCACCTGGCCCCTTTACCAACATAGTCTACATGGCATGGCCACTGAAACCATCTACTGTCAAAGTTTCCACAATTCACTCTTCACCACCCAGCCTCTGTCCCATCTTCTAGCACTGTGTCCAGGGATTCTCTGTAGCCTTGACAGCTCCTCAACTCCCCTGCCTCCACAGTCAACCCCAAACTGGGTGGAAAGAGGAGGAGAGGCAGCAGGGCTGCCCAGGAAAACCAGCCTGAGTGGCCCCCAGTTGTCTCTCACTGGGTAATGCTGCATATTAGCGCTGGAGTGCTTGTGTCTGATAATGCACTTGAACCTCAGTTCATACGTGCAGTAGGACACACATGCCCTGCTTTAATTTTGCCTGGGTCATCTGGGTGTTAATACCATGAGATCTAAGCCTAGTTTGGCTGAGAGCTTTTCCCTCTTCTTGAGATCATTTTAAAAGAGCTTTTGTAGAAATGACACACCTCTTGGCAGGCACCCCCTCGGATCTGGTCACAACCCTTGACACAGCTCCCTCCCTGACCGCCCTTGGCGCCCAGCCCCCACAGCCATTTGTCTGGTTTATCTCTTGCAACTTTGACATTTCCAGATCAGCACGTGGTAGGTCTCCATGGAGCCTTCAGGTCTTGCTCTCTTGTGCACGTGAGGTGCCTACCTCCCTGCACTGAGTGAGCTGGTTGTCACTGCCTGGCCATCTAGTAGTCTAGACTTGTCATTAAGAAGTCCGAACAGTGTTAGACGCTCATCCACAGCTGCTCTCAGGCCTCCAGTGCAAGCATTTACTTTTTGTCTGGGCGCATATCTGAGAGCAATGTGTTCAGCTCTAGCGTCAGGTGAGGCCAGCAGCCTTCCAAGGTGGCTGTATCATTCTACTCTCCTGCCACAGCCCAACCTAGCTTCCTAGAAAACCTAGAATTCCACAGAAGAGGGACAGACACTCCGTGGACGTATATCAGGCTGAGAACCTGGGATCTCCGGAGCCCAGCAGAAGGGCTGACTTCGGCAGCCCTGTGTCCTTTGGGAGCTCCCCAAGGCTAGTGTCTGAGAACACTGTGTTCCTACGGTGGCTCTTGGCCACCACTCTGTGAATAGCCCTTCAGAATGGTTCCTGTAAGTGTGACCCCCTTACCCAGCACTGCTTTGGTGGGGAAAAGAGGGTGGGCAGAGCCCAGGGCATTTTCCAAGCCCTTCCCACATGGGCACAACGCTCTCACAGACCCTTCCAAACCACACTTATTCTGTAGATCTTTCCAGCAGGGCTCACAAGTTCTGCACAGATGTGGCATGTGTGAGATTCTATTGGGTGACCCACGAATGGCGTGGGTGGCCTTGTATGTGTGTGCTACAGCAGGTAAAGTGGCCTTGGCATACTTTTGTGGCACAGGTCATATAAGGATTTGCTGACCCCCCAGTACCTCCACAGTTCCATCAGTCTCAGAGCAAGTCTTTTGAGGAGTCATGGGTTTGCTGTAAAGCCCCAGACTGCCAGCCAAAGGCATGGGAGGCCTGTGAACCCGGTGTGTGAGATTTCAGAGGTGTGCAGTGCGTTGACAAGCTGGCACATGGAAAGCCAGAGCTGCCGTGGGAGGTGGGTTCCTGTACCTGACCCGCTGTGCTCTACCCTGGGGGCCTCACCTCCCTCCATCCCCTCAGCCGTCTTCTCCTTCTGGCAGGACCTAGCCATTCTAGCGCCTCTGGCCTTGGCTCTGTAAATGTTTCCATCCCAGTCTCCTGCCTGCAGACTAGGGAGGGCCCGTTGGCGAGTCACTGTGTCTCATACACAGCCTGATGTCCCCCTCCAACCCCTAGCCAGCCCTCTGCACAGAGGTGTGACCTTGGAGAGGAGCTCAGACTGACATCATGGTGGTGTGTAGGAACCCCCCCCCCAACCCAGGGATCTGGAAAGGCAGCACAGGACTCACTGACTGTCACAGTGGACAGCGTGGATCTGTCTGTCTTTGATTGTCCTGTTGGTCCCAAGGCTGTCTGTTTCTATACATTTTTTTTTTTAAGAATCGACACAATCACCTTCATTAAGATAATGATAAAAGGCAGTTTCCTGTTTGCTTTTCTCGAATCTTGCTGATAAGATACATGTGCCTTTTGTCTCGTGTAGATGTGTGTGCATGTGTGTATACCCAGGTACACACTAACACACAAGTGTCCATGTGCAAACACATAGGTAGATATGCATCTGGAGACACTGAAACACAAACATGCACACACCAGACACACCCTGACATGTAGCTGTGTGCACTTGTGCAGGCACAGTTTTACAAACAGGCACACATGAATACACTTGTGCACACACCAACACACATTGTACTGTATGTACGCATGCACACATACACACAGATGCTGGCCTCTGGGAGCTTCAGCACTCCTCCTGGCCCCGTGTGCTGTATGCCAGATGGGCATTCCAGTTCAGTGACCAGTGGCCCAGCTGGGAGGAGCTGCCTGACCTCACACAGGCTTCATGCTTCCTGCAGAGTGGGCGCTCCGGGGGCCTGTGGGTAAGAAGGCAGACCCCTCCTGTGTTGTCCGATTGAGGCAGTAGGCCTCCTAGCTCCCCCTCGTCCTTCTTTTCGGGAACTGTAGCCTACTCCTTCCCTGGCAACATGTTAAATGGGAGCCCTCTTTGTGGTTATCTGAGGCCTGTGTTTTCTCAGCTTTCCCCTCCATGAGCACCAGCAATGAGAGTGGAGGGATGGACTCAGGGAGGGTGAGACCAGGACTCTAGGAGGTTTCTGCATTTGCTGGTTATCTGCCCCCCTTCTGCCTTATGCATTGCTGTGTATGGCACCTTTCCCACAAGACTGAGCTTGGGGAGTACTGACGAGCAAGCTCGCCTTTGAATCCCTATTCAGGACTGGTGGTACCGGCCCTGAGTACTGGAACTGACCAGCCCTGTCACCAGGTGCCACATGCCACCTCAGGCCCTCTGCTGTCCTGAGATCCAGTAGCTTAAACAGCTACTCAGGGATTTTCTGGTTGAAACCCACATGATGCCTGTGGCTAGAGTGGGTGACCCACAGTTTCCCCAAAAGAAGGATTTGCCCCAGATACCAAGCAAGAAATTGAACCTTCCTGTGTTGGACTACCTGGAGTGTGTGTGTGGGTGGGGAGCTAAGTAGTTCAGAGGTCACCAGGAGAGGTGTTTGGTGTTTTGCGATTTTCCGCAGTCTTGAGTCACTCGCTGTTGTTTCTCTGAGGATAGACACAGACACCAAGGCAGTGCCTTCCTACTACAGTGGCAGACCAAGGTGGGGGGCACGTGATCAGACCCTTTCCTGCCCTCACTCTGCAATATCTGGCACGCAGCCGTGGCAGCAGTGACCGCAGGAGGAGATGGCAAAGGAGTCTGGTCTGAGCCACGGTGGCAAGGGCTTCTGAGAGTAAAAGTGATGGATTCTCTCTGCAGCCTGCCCTCTATGGCGCCCCCTGTGGGTCCTTCCCCTAGCTACAGGTCTTCCTGGCTTTTTTGACCCGCTGTTTATCCTAGGTCTTGATGGCATCCTGCCTGAGCTGGGTGTGGACAGGAGGAAAACCTCTGGCTAGCTAGAGCCAAACAGGTGAACACCAGAAGAGGGGATAGGAGGGCAGTGGGGCACTTGACTGGGTCAATTTCCCTAGCAGGAGCAAAGGCTCCATGTCGTATTGTCTCTGGGGGCCCAGTGAGCCATCAGCACCACAGCTGTGTCCCCATGAGTCTGCAGGGAGGTGATGAGGCAGGTTACCCTTCAAGCCTGTGGTCTTGGGCCCACTAATTAATTGGTCCCAAGGAGGCACTGCCGAGCACCACTGGGAGACTCATGCTGGAGGTCTTGGGAAGTGAGCTGAGCCCGCTTGGCAAGGCTCTCCTCGCCTTGGCTCACAGGGACACGTGTCAGGGGCATCACACCAACTCATCTGAGCACAAAGCCCACCTTGTGCAGAGGTAGTCAGCCCTGATGGCCCAGTCTCCAAAGGCTCTCTCCCCGCCCCTGCCTGTTCCTGCTGTCTGGGCTTCCGCCTCACCCCGCGCAGTCAAGCCAAAAGACTTCTCTGTTTTCAGGTTTCCCGCCCCGTGCAAACACACATTCCAGATGTGCCCACTACAGACCAGTCTTTATGTTCTGCCACACCAGGCTCTCCCCATCCTACCCCACCCCCTTGATGAAAATCCTCCAGTGGTAGTTAGCCTGACAGCCCTGCCGACATTGGCTCTGCTTTCTGACCATCCTCGGACCTGTCCCCATTTTACTGTGAGAGCTGACCAGGGCCACCATGAACCCTTCCTCCAGGAAGAAGCTGGATCGCCATACCAAAGGCTCGAGTTTTCTTTTACTTAACAGAATTGACCGGAACCATAAAGAAATTGGTTTTCACAAACTTCCCTGGGGCACATTCACTGGTAAGTCCGAGGCAGGAGGACAAGCTGAGTGGGCAGGACTGCTACTTCCCCAGGGCATAAGAAAGCGCTCACCTGTGCCAGGGATCCACACAAGGCTCCGTCAGCAGTCGGGGGCTGCCGTGGGACTGGGGCATGCTCCCTGTTCATCCAGCCATCCCTCCATTGCTCCACACTTGCCAAAGACAGGCTGGCACGGACGCCCACAGCTCCTGAGGAAAAACAGGATTCGGCCTAGAGTCATCCAAACCACACACTGTGTTTAAGCGGGCTATGGTTGGACCATGTGACCTAGAAGAATCCAAATGGACCTATGTCTGAGGTGGAAGAGTGACGTGTGTGTGAATCTGAGGGTTTCCAGAGCTCTTTTGCAGAAGTGTGCAGGCCACTTGCAGAAGGTCCCTCCCAGAAGGCAAAGACATTTGCAACCTAAAATAGGAACTGAAGCCCCACCCAGTCAGAAAAAGTCCTCCCTACCAGAACAAACCAGTGCCTAGAACCTTGGGACATGGATGAGGGGCTGGCCCCTCTGTCCCTGACACAGGGTGACTCAGGGCAGTGGACACTCCAGCCTGGATGGCAGGTGACCCTGCTCACCAATGGCCAGAGCCGCACCTTGAGGTTGCATGGAGTGGGGCTCTGCCAGGAGGCATGTCAGCCTGCTGGTGTCCAGCATCCTCTCTGCCAGGCCTTGCCCAGGATACCATGATGCTGGCTGGGAGGAGTCCTGAGCGGAGGCACCAAGTTCTGAAGGGAGAGCCTCAGCCAAATGGAGGTAAATAGTCTTGGGAACGCTTTCAAATCTTAAAATGCAGTGATCTTTACTTGCATTCCCACCCCCGTGTATGCACACTTTTGCAGCTTACCTCATGTTGCAGGCTGTTTCCGTGGCATCAGCCCCAGGCCGCTTTGTGGTCCTGGTCTCATGCAGTTCCTTCAGCGTCTCGAGTACTGTGGAGAGCCATCCCAGCGCTGTGCCTGGGCCTCTGGGTAGTTCCTGTGGGGCACACTGCTCTCTGACTTGAAGGGGTGTTAGAAAGTCATTAACTGGGGACCTGGATTCTTCTTGAGTGAATTTTCAGGTCTGACTGCTGCCAAGATACTGCCCCAGGACGGAAGAATCTGATTGGTGGTAGAGAAGTCTGAGGAGGCCCTAATGGCTGAAGAGGCCTCATCTCTGTGGCCTTCCTCCTCCAGAACAGTCCCCGCGCCCTCCTTTGCCCCCTTCCTGCCTGATGTGTGAAGACAGCTCTCAACCCACATCCGCTGTGTCAGCCTCCTGTGCTCCCTTCCTGGCCCTGACTTCAGTGTGGTAGATTCAGCTCATGGACTCTAAGACTGGTGGGGCTACCAAGGTCCACTCTCCACTGCTTTGTTTTGAGGTCACCTCTGGTACTTCCGTATTTGACCCCATTTCTCTGTGCGGCCACTGATTGTGTCCTTCCTAATGGCCTTTGACAGTTCTGTAAAACGCTATTGTATCCCTACTGAGAATGGTCCCTGAGTGACCTCTGACCCTTTCCGGTGCCCCTTGCATATCAGGCTTCCATGAGGACATGGGCTTCCTCTCCAGCTTCCTTTGCCTCACTTGGGCCTTATCCCAAAGTGTTAGTGTCTGGCCCCTCCCCTGGGAACTGGTCAGGGCGTAGAGGCAGGGTGATAATCCCCTCCCTCCCAAATTCTGTTTACCCGCTGGTAAGGGAAGTACAGGCTTGTGCTCTGAAACCTGCTGCTGTTTCCTCTGCTTGCGCTCTTCTGGAGAAGTGCAGCACCTCTCGGCCCAATGGGAGGAGCCCGGGGGACAAGCAGTGGGACTAGAGGCCCTTCCGCTTGAGTTGAGCCACAGTCAGGTGCTGACCAGCCTGCCTGGTGTCAGTGCTCAGGCACTAGAACCTCATGGGGACTGCAGAGCAGGCTGCTGGGCACAGCCGCCTCCCCACTTGCCTCTCCACCTTGGGAGGGCCCTGCATACCCTCCAGTCTTGAGGCTTCCGCCTGCCTGACCCGTGCTGGCCCTTAGGCTGACCGCACAGATGTGGGACAACAGAACTGCGGTGGCTGCTTTCTCTGATGTGTGATCTTTAGAGGCAGGGACCCCATCCCCAGGCCTCAGTTTCCTTCTGCGAGGTGACCGATGAACGCACCCATGCTCAGGTTGGCTTTTGGGTGAGCTGACATCCCCAGAAATGTGACAGGAAGGTCAGTGGTTGTGGCTCCCCTGGATGGTGCTGGGTAAACTGTGGTTCCCATGGGTGTGTCAGGCCCCCAACCGTGAGCCATCTCCCAGTCAGACTCCCATCCCAGCTCAGTGACTGCTTCCTTGGTGTCACAAGGACTTCTTCAGCTGGTGACACCTGCCTAAGCTGTGACTGCCTGGATGTGGGCTCTCAGCCACCAAAGTGCTGGTCTGAACTTTTTGCTCTGACCTGGCAATTGAATTCAGAGAGACATGGCCCCAGTAGCATGTTCATGCGGTCGTAAGCATTCAGGAAGTTGGCCCCAGATTGCAAGCTCGTGCCGCCGTGGGAGTTCAGGATTCAGGAAGATGTGGCCCCAGATCGTGTGCTCAGGACCTGCGCAGCCCACAGCCCTGCCCACCAGGAGCCCCCAGCACCAAGGGCAGCGTCTGAGCTGGGTGGGAAGAAAGGGAAGGACACTAAAGGTTTGCATAGGAAGGGAAGGGGCAGAGCGTAGATGTGGCTTCCTTCCCTCTGTCCCCGGCCACCAGCTGGGAGGCTTTGGCTGCCTGCACCCCGGCCTTCCCCTCCCATCATTTGTTCAGTTCCCCAGCTGAGCTGGTGATGAGCATGGTGGCTTCCTCCCTCCCTGTCCCCTCTATGAGGATACAACTTGTTTTTTAAATGTTTGGTTGATCTTGTTTCTGAGGTAGGGTCTCACTAACGTAGCCCCAACTGGCCTGGAACTCATCATGTAGACCAGGATGACCTCAGACTCACAGATCCACCTGTCTCAGCCTTCAGAGAGCTGGAATTAAAGGCGTGTGCCGCCATGCCGGGCAGGGATACACTTGGTCACTTATGCAGTGATTCCCTGGCCACAGGCCACAAATAGTCTGGGGAGCAAGGTGTCCCCGGTCTTCTCTGTCTGCACAGCTGCAGGTCCTCTGTACTGCACTGGGAGCCGGGGCGGGGGCGGCGACAGCTCACAGGATGGCCCTCCTCATGGGGACCTAATAGCCCACCACACAGCCAGGTGGTGGGAGCAACCAGCACAGCAGTAGGAGGCCCTTGAGACGTCACACTCAGTAGGAGAAGCAGGACGCAAAATGCCACGTGCCTTGTGTTTCCACTTCAGAAGAGACAAGCCGGGGACAGAAAACAGACAGGCTATTCAGTGTCATTTCTTCTTTTGTTGGTTGGTTGGTTGGTTGGTTGGCTGGTTGGTTTTTTTGAGACAAGTTTTCTTCATGTAACATCTCCAGCAGTCCTGGAACCAGCTCTGTAGACCAGAGATCCATCTGCCTTTGCCTCCCTTAGTGCCGCCACTGTCCGGCCCCTGGTGTCATTTCGTGCTGTGCCAACAGTGATAACTTTTCTGGTCCTCTCCACTTTGCCACATCTTTATATTTTAAGCACCGCTTCTCTTGAGGTTTGTGTTATAACTCTGCAGTTTTAAACGTGTAGTTTGGTTCTTTGGGGCACGTGTACAAGACCAGGCGCCATCCCCGGGCTCTGGTAGGAATGTTGTCAAATCTTGAAGCTGGTTGGTAGCTCACCCCAACCCCTCTGAGTCCCGAGGCTGCTACAGTGCTGGTCCTGTATAGGGACGGGTAGGGATACCCCACATCTGAGCTGCTGTGTGGCATCTCCTCCAGGACACGCTGCCAACCCTTCTCCCTGAAAGTCTGCAGAGTGACCGCGGCACACACCCCGTTTCCCCCTCCTCCGGTGCCTTCCTCTGTGATCCTGCAGTTTGGAAAGTTGATGGTTACCGGGTTTTGGCATCTGGGGGGCTATGGCAGGAACTCAGGATGTAGGAGGCTGGGCGGGGTGGAGGCTCATCTCGCCATACTGTGCCAGGCTGGCCAAGGTGAGGGCCAGTGACTCCTGTGACTTTGGTCTTCCGACGCGGCAGTCCAGGGGTCAGGAGGAACAGGTTCACCATGGTGAAGACTACAGAAAAGCCGGAGGGGGACACAAGTCTGGAACTGGGACCAAGGATTGAAAGGCCAGCGTGGGTCCAGCCTCACTCAGCTCATGCTGGATGGCGGAGGCTCTGTATCTGGTGCTTCTTTGTTGCGGCCTAGGAGTCCTCACCGTGCCGTGCTTGGCTCCTCCTGACCACTGCTCGCCACCTCCTCTCCAGCTATCTCTGGTGTCTCAGCTCTCTGCCTGGCATCTTTCCTCACTTGTAGTGACGTGGACACGCTGCTTAGCAGGCTCTTTGGCCCAAGCGCCCACACTGCCTGAACACCAGTTGTTCTGTCCCTTGTCAGCCTGGAGCTCGTCCTCACCTGGTGCAGTTAGTGAGTCTGTGCAGGCTGGACCTGGGGTCTGTCGTGGGCCTCATCGTACTGTGTCCCCAGTGCACTGCCAACTGATCATCTCTGGCTGACTCCAGTGGCAGCTGCAGGCCCTTTCTAGGAATTTAGAGATAGATTTGAGTCTGGCATCCAGCTCTGTAACCTTCAGTTCCTGATCTCCCTGCCTCTGCTCCCAAGTTCTGAGGTTACAGGTGTGCACCACCACACCTGGTTCATGCCACGCTGGGGTTGGAACTCCTGGCGTTGTGCATGCTGGTCAGGCCCTCTACCAGCTGAGCCATGTTCCCAGTAATTTTGTTGTTGTTGTTGTTGATGTTTGTTTGGTTTTGAATTTTGTGATGTTTGTTTTTTAAGATAGGGTTTCTCTGTATAGCCCTGACTGACCTAGAATTCAGAGATCCACCTGCCTCTACCTCCCAAGTGCTGGGATTAAAGGCATGCACTTTAATCACCACCCAGCACTGTGCTGGCTAATTTTATGTCAGTTTGACACAGGCTCGCGACATCTGAAACAAGGATGAGAGAAAATTCCTCCATAAGATTGGACTGTAAGCAAGCCTCTAGGGCATTACCTCAATTAGTGATTGAAAGGGAAGGTTCAGACCATTGTGGGTGGTGGTCTTGGGTTCTATAAGAAAGCAGGCTGGGTAAGCCAAGGAGAGCAAGTCAGTAAGCAGCACCCCCCCCCCCCCAAGGCCTCTGCTTCAGCTCCTGCCCCTAGGTTCCTGCCTTGACTAACTTGAGTTCCTGTCTTGACTAACTTCTGTGATGAAATATTCTGTGGAAGATGTGAAAGCCAAACAAGCCCTTTCCTCCCCAACTTGCTTGTGGTTCTAGCATTTCATCACAGCAACAGGAACCCCAACTAGGATGCCACCCTTCGCCATTGCCTCTTTAAATGAGAGAACTTGGGGTTACTCTGTCCCAATTCTGCTCTCCACCCCCCTAGCTGTGGCCCGAGGCTCTAACACTGGGCTGCAGTAGACATGTAGCCTGAGTCAGACACAAGGAATCTCAGAGTGAAGCCATGATGTGACCCCAAGCATGCTGAGCCCTTGGCAGGCACAGTCCTGAGCTGTGTCTGCACCTGAGGCTATTCCCCACCGCCCCAGCTTGCTGTGCAGAGAGAGCTGCCTTGGGGCCGCATGTTTGTGTGCATTTGTGCTGCCTTGTATGAGTGTGTGTAGTCGCAGCCCGGCCTCTCCTGCGCTGTGTTGACACTTTCGGCTACTTTCTCCTTTCTGCGTCAGGGAGGGTTGATTTGGGGCTCCTGGTTTGAGAGGATACAGTCCATCGTGGCAGGAAAGGCAAAGGCACGCAGTGGTAGCTGCTGGTCACATTGTGTCTGTGGTCAGGAAGCAGAGGGAGGCGGATACTTTGTTTGCTTTCTCCTTTTTATTGTCTGGGATGCCATCCTACGGAATGGAGCTGCCGGCATTTAGGGAGGGGCCCCACTTTAGTTAACCCAATCTAGGAAATCCTTGACCAACATGTGAGGTTGTCTCATAGGTAATTCTAGGTCCTATCAAGTTGATATAAACCAGCACAGTGGGCTTAGTACTAGTCAAGGCAGTTTCCTGTGGCTGCAGAGAGCCTGTGTCCTGAATGTGTGGCTGACCAAGAGGGCATCAGAGATCCACAAGACCTGAGGAGATCTCTATCCTCCCGGCTGCCTGCATCTCATACATAGAACTTGGGAACCTGTAGCTAAATAACCTAGGCTCGCTGAGCAGGGCCAGGACCCTTGGACTTCCCCGAAGGCACAGTAAAGGGGAATCTAGGGATGCCTGACAGAATGCCAGGTTCGTGAGACAAGACTCCTGCTAAGAAGCCACTGGAGCCTGGAGAGTGGAGCCTTGTCCATGTTCCCCACATCCTCTGAGTGTCTGCCACAGCAGGTGTGACCTGGGAGCCCCACGTGGTAGCAGTCCCACCCACAGAGCAGCCTGTACACACAACAGCCATGCCTTACCACTGCAGCATGTGGAGTTTTCACCCCTGTTGGCTAGAATGCGGAGGACCAGCCTCTAGGACTTCAGAAGACTGTAGCTTGGGACCTTGTGGGCAAGAAGGCTGCCAGAAAGCAGCCCTGGCTGCAAGTGTCCTCCTCAGCAGAGGGAAGGAATGGCCAGTGACAGAACCCCCATCCCTTTGGGAGCCATGTCCCTCAGCTTAGCCATAGTGTGGCAAAGACCAACTGTCATCCCCAGACCCACATTTGCCAAGGATCATGGGGTAAATGCTTGAAGTCCACCGATAGCAAGTCCATCGGCGGCCACTGGGTGGAGCTCTGGAAACAAGCCTTTTTCAGACAGAAACCGTGAACCTAGCTAGCAAAGTCTAAGACAGGCTGTATAGCTTGAAAGCGAAAGCACTTTTCACATTACAGCATTCTGTACGCGTCTCCCAGGTTTGTGTCATCCATGATGGCGCTGGGATGGCGCTGGCCATCCTTGTCACCTCCTCGGGAGACACTGAGGATCTCCAGGTTCTGACAGGTGCAAGCAGCCACAAATCCAATGGCCCATTGAGAGACTGTTTCTGTCATTCTAGAAAGTTCCTCGGAGCCCCAGAGATAGTGTCTCCTTTCATGGGTCGGGGAGGCAGGCTGCTGGGTGTTCGGAGTGTCCCTTGAGATTCCCAGGGAGCTGTGTGGGTGGTGGACATCCTTTCACAGCCACGGTCCTCCTGTGCTGGAGAGACGCGTCTGCCTGTCTGTCAGAGGACAAGCTGTCTCCACCCTGGCTCTTGTGAGCACACAGGCTGAGGGAATACAGGTGTATGGTTAGCTGCCCTTGTTTTCCCAGCCAATGATCTCAAGGTGGGGACTGAGGAAATGATTTGGTGTTTGTTAAAGCACATGCTACACAGCTTGAGTTTGGGTCCCCAGAATCCATGTGAGTTCTAGGTAGGCATGGCGGTCCACCCATGATCCCAGCCCGTGAAGACAGAGATGGGTCCTCAAAGCAAGCTGGCTGGCAAGACGAGCCATATCAGTGTGCTCTGGGTTTGATTAAAAGATAGACCCTGCCTCTGTAAGTAAGGTGGAAGAACAATCAAGAATGTTACCAACCCCCAACTTCAGACCTCCACATGCGTGATCACCCCCCTCTTCAGACATGCACCCATAGTCGAACAGACATGTATGCACACACATGCATATTGCATACACGCACACAAATGGAGGGAGAGTAGGGTGTGGGGTGGTCAGAACACATGGTGAATGTATTTCCAGCAGGGGTGGGGTTTAAGTTCTTCCCTTTTCCTGAACTGCGGCCTGACTCATCAGCCAGGAGCACCCTGACTCCGTCACTGGGGGCGGCTAGGGGAGCTGAGTGGCAGAAGCCTGACTCATCCAGCCCTCCTTTGAAAGGAAGCCCCAAGACTTGGCTCTGATGTTTCTCAGATTAGGATCGGAAAAAAGTCCCGGAGGCCTCATGCATGCCCCAGAAGGAACCAGTGACTAGATCTGGGAATGTGGTGGATGCTGCCTTCCCTCTTGAGAGCTGAAGTGCATGTGATGGCGTAGCGTAACCTCTGCCACTATTGGACGCCCACCTTAGGAAGTTCCTGTATTCCATGGTCCAGTCCTTTCTGCAGACTGTGGGGGCATGCTAGGTGGCGTTGGAAGCTATGTGCCCTGGGCTTGCGGCCTCGGGAATGTCTCACTTGCTGAGGGCAGTTGAAGAATTTTCCCCATTACCTGAGGAACTCAGTGGGGTATTTCTCAGGGTCCCTGAGTCATACATCTAACAGTGTAGGAGGCCCAGGAGACTCACTGCTGGAGTTCAGTCCTTGCACTGCCCTGGCATGCCCAAACATGGAGAGGACCATGGAGATCCTCCAAAGAGGGTGACCTGGCCTCAAGTTAAGTTGGACCCACTGGATTGGCCTCCCCTGACCTCAGCTCTTGGTTTTGCTGACGCCGGCTGCAGCATAAGAGTGCCGGGAAAAGCACCCCCGATGCACGTTCATTCCCACATGCATGCAGCAAGATCCAGCAGGCTGTGTGCTCTTTGCTGATAGCACCGGGTCTCCTTCACAAACATCATTCCCAGGTTGTCACTTGTTTACTTGTCGCCCAGCACCACGTGCTAAGTAGGGTCAGCTGCTGCTGCTGGGACGGACCCTCCCATGTGTTCCAGAAGCTCCAGGAGAGCTGCTAGGCCATGAGCATACCCTCAGCCTGTCCCTAAAGACGGGTGACATTTGGGGAAGAAGTAGGACAGTGCGTGGGTGTCGCCTTTCCCTTGCTAATCTGTGGCTGGCGGAGTGACAGGTTCAAGTTCCCTCTGTCACCCCTAAGGCTTGCTGATCTGCAGCAACCACAGGGCATGTGGCATCCGAGTAATGCTTGGCTTATCAGCTTCGTGTAATTCTGTAGACAAACTACAGAGTAAGCTAAAAATGTTATTTATATTGAGTGGAAACAACCTTTTAAAGAAAGAGTGTGATATTTATTCATGTGTAATGTGTGCCTATAGAGGCCAGAAGAATGTATTAGATCCTCTGGAACTGGAGATACAGGTGGTTGTGAACCACCATGTCAGTCCGGGGGATTGAACCCAGGTCCTCAGGAAAAACAGCCAGTGTTGTTGTTTTTCCGAGACAAGATTTCTCAGTGTAGCCCTGGGTGTCCTGGAACTCACTCTGTAGACCGGGCTGGCTTTGAACTATGAAATCCACCCGCTTCTGTCTCCCAGTGCTGAGATTAAAGGTGTGAGCCACCACAGTTGGATTACAGCCAGTGTCCTTATAATCACTGAGCTATCTTTCCTGCCCTGAGCAACCTCCTCTTCTCTTGAGACACGGTCTCCTGTAGCTGGGCTCAAACTCAATTCTGTAGCCAACCTTGAACTCCTGTGACCTCCCAAATGATGGGGTTGCCAGTGTGCATCGCTACACCAGGGTCACACAGCTGCTGGAGAGCAGACCTAGGGCTTCGTGCGTGATAAGTAGGCACTCCAGCGCTGAGCTACATACATCTCCAGCCCAGAAACAGCCAGTGTCGAGGGACTGTTTTCTGATTCCTGATACACTTCACATACCCCTAGAAATGCATGTTTTAGGAATCCAGACATTGGGCCTGACTGCAGTGCTTACCACACTGGTGCAAAGCCCTGGTGTTCGATCTCTCCCCACCATTTAAAAAAAAAAAAAAAAAGGAACCAGGGTGATGAGTGTTAAATAATTTAATAGTATTCAGATGTGTGAATCTCATCAGTAGTTTCTTTTTCACAGTCACAGAATTTGGCAAATGGATCCAGCCACTGGGGTGGATCCCGTCGGTCAGGAATGGGAAAGCCCCCATCTTCCCGAGAAGCAGACATGCAGTTTATCATCCTGTCCCTGGGTTGCCCTTTGCCGAATGCTTTCTCTAAAGAACAGGTGTCTGTGGTTCCTGGGTATATCTGCCCCAAAGAGCACTGGCTCCGGTTTCCTCTGCCATGTCATGTGACATCGTGAAGGAAATCAAAGAGAAAGGTCACTTTCTGGAATCCTAAGTAACGACACACCGCAGGCTTTCTTGTGAGTTAATGAAAATAAGAGCATTCATCGTAAATTATAACCATCAAGAAGTGTTGACAGCCAAATTAGCGATCCTTGGGGAACTGCGTATCCTGCCTGGCATCTAAAACCCATGCGAGAAAGCATTGTGCGCATGCGCGGCTGTTGCAGTGGCCTCTTCTCTACGTGGTTAGGTTCTTTCCTACTTTGGGAGAAAGAATTGGAACGCAGACAGTGGGGGCTCCCAGGATGAACTCAGCACAGACTCACAGACAGATATCAGAGCACCGGTGACTGTGTGGTGCTTGGGTGGCTGTGGTTGGCCTGGGACGAGGAGGCAGGTGGTGGGAATAGGGTCCTGGGTGGGAGGGCGCATCACACTAGGGGTCTGTGCAGGGAAGGTCTGCATTGCAGATGGCCACTATTCTAGCCATGTGCAGCTCCACCCAAGCAGACAGCTGGGTGTCCACTGGGCTGTCCCTGCAGGACAAGTGGCTAGACAGTTGATGCCAGTCACAGGGTCCTGGATTCTGGTCCTTCGAGGGTCCCCTAGAACATGGTCAGTTTATCCCTAAGGCCACTGAGAAAAATGCAACAAAGGAACATTTGGGCCTCTCCCCACCTTGCTTGGGAATGACTGGGGTGAAGGATTCCAGGACACAGAGCCCTTCCTGGACCTGGGGTCTGCCCCTCCCAGGTCCTCTACCTGGGCCAAAGGGTGTAAAATGGTCAGCAAGGGCAATGACTGCTTTAAGCTGGACACCGATATCATGAACAGCCCCGCCCATCTGAATCCTGTTTCCCCTGTGGCCCACAAAGCTTAGGCTGACTTTATTTGCCCTGACCTTGGCCCCTGGGCTTGCTTTCACCAGAGAAGAACTACAGCTGGCCTGCGGGCTAGGCCCAGCTAGAACCTTCATGGTGAGGGTTCTTGTTTCCTCAGCAAGCATTGGTAGTCGGTGTGGCTGTGGGCTGGGACCCTGGCAGCCTCAGAACCTTCGTTCAACTGTGCGTCCAGGAGGACAGGGAAAGCTTGGCTTGCCATTTTAAAAACCTCAAAGCAACACTTTACAGCCAGAAGCACTGAGACTTTTGACTAACCTAGCCTTGTGGTTTACCCTTGAGAACTAGGCCCCACAGAGCGTGCCCAGTGGATCACAGCTAGGGCTAAGGACCTCGTGCACCTCAATAATTCTCCTTAAGCCAGATTAACTCCGGCACTCACCATCCGAGGGGATGTAGTTTGCATAGAATAGATAAAACTAAACTTACTCTTAGCTGAAGTTCCCAAGCAACTAGGACAGCCTCAGGGCCATGTAGGAAGGCCAGTGAATATGGATCACACCTCACACCCACCCTCTGCGGAGACAGGCAGGTTAGACGATCATATGGAGATCTCTAGAACTTGGGAGCAAGGAGTTGTGGGCTTGCAATGTAACCGTAGAGAATGGGGTGGTGACAGTGATGGGATGGGGGTGGTGGGAATTCTTTTCATGCCCACGTGTTAGAGTAGTTAATTACCAAACACAAGGCCCCAGAGGCATGTGGGTGAGGCCTGGACCCAGACACCTGTGGAAGGCGAGCCTCATCCTGTACCACCCCACAGCTGTGTGAAACCAACCAGGCAGGGCCCTTAACCTGGATGCCAGTCCCTGGTCACCTTGGGGCACCTGGCCTCCTACCATCCTGCCTGGCCAACACTTTACCACATCCAGAGCTCTGTCCTGGGGTCCTACGGTTTCTACGCTAAGGAGAGAGTACTTTCTTCTGTTTACTGATGTGCATGTATTGAGGCCCTGGAAGGACGGGCCTGTACTAAGTTCTCTAGGAGAGAGGTAGCCAGGTATGTGTGGCTGGAGAGAGGTCCAGCACGCACGGCTATCGCTGTCAGCAGTTCAGGCCCGACAGGCACTGTCCTGTCCTCAAGCTGTGACATCGGTACCAGCGACAGCCATGCTCCCTTGTGCTGTTTGTATCTTAATATCAGGCGTTTTCTAACACTTCTTTTTATTTAATAAAAAAGAGAGAGGAGAATCAAGTATTGTGTCAATATGAAGTATAAATACTGGCTTTAGATTTCATCACTTCATTTAGAAAGCCCAAATGCCAGGGAGGCCAAAGGTCAGCCTGCGTTGGAGGACATGGACCTTGAAGATGTCCCTGGGAGAAAGGCACACACCTTGCGGGGAAGGTGGGGAGGTTAGTCAGAAGCAGCCCGTTAGCACAAGGCACCGCCGCTTTCCACAAGGCAGCGTCAAACCAAGACTGGCCTTTTAGGGGGGCACATAGAACATGTCAGAGAAGTGCCCCCCGTGCCATTCTGTTCTCAGCGTGTCTCCTGGGGGTGGCAGCGCCGTGCTTGGTGAACAAAGTGCTGTGCGTCCAGGTGGATTTTAGTGTTCCTTGTGGTCAAGTCCTCTCCTGGGACTGAAGACCAGGGAGGGGTGAGCTACGCCTGTGCCATCACCTGCTGGATCCCCACAGGGTCAGGGGAGCAGTGCCGGTGCCCACAGTGTATTCTCTTCACCAACCGTCGGAGCTTGCCGGGGAAGGCTTTGTTGATGTAACGGTAGAGCAACGGCGTCACGGAGCTGCTTGAGAAGGCCAAGAACTTGGCCAAGTCCTTAGCAACCTGCAGGATGCCCAGATAATGCCCCTCTGTGGTCCTCCCCCGTGAGGCCAGCACTGTGTGCCCCAGGCTCAGGTAGTAAGGCGTCCAGAGCCCAAACTGTGTACACACGGTGGCCACCAGCAGCCTATGCACCGAGGGGTCCAGCCTGCTGGTGTCCTGGTCCAGGGGCGTGTCTTCCTTCCCAATCCTTGAGATGAGTGCCAGCGCATACAACACAGCCAGGCCTGGCACCACATAGCCGATGAGCACCAGGATAGCGTCGGCGGCCTCCGTGTTCTGCATCCGGGCACACTCAGCGATGCGTGAAGACACATGGCTGCAGATGTAGAAGAGCAGAGAGGAGAAGCTGGTGAGCATGGCCCCACCCCAGACGAAGCCACACACGTGCCGGGTGTTGTACACACTGGCCATGTAGGTACGTGGCAGGGCACGTTCGATGTAGTAGTCAAGGCTCAGCAGGGCAGTAGAATACATGATCACCAGGGAAGCCACATTGAACAGGATGAGCAGTGTCACATGGGCCTCGCTGCTGAGGCTCCACAGGGCCCACCTGGAGTGGGCGGGGCCCAGCAGGTATGCAGGTGCCAATGCTGAGAGCACCAGCCCGGCCACAGCCATGTTCACGAAGTACACATCCGGCATAGTCATACTGTTCTTACTGGTCAGGTTGGCCAGCACCAGCAGGGCATTGTAGCCCAAGCCCACAGGGACACCTGCTCCCAGGTAGAGAAGCGAGAGGACCCAGAGCCCCAGACGCAGGTTCCGGCACAGCGGCTCCTCGCCCCACGCTGTGCTGTTGAGTGGGCCACAGCTCCACATGGCAGGCAGCTCACCCCAGCTTCACAGCTCTGCTGAGAGAGAAGGAACAGAGTTAGATCCAGGAAGTACTCCTGCATATGTAGGGGTGTGTGTGTGTGTGTGTGTGTGTGTGTGTGTGTGTGTGTGTGTGTG